TGGATTGGTTCATGGTTTCAGGGGGCAATGACCCCCAGGCACTCCCTATTCCCCAACTTTCTGGTTGGAGAGTTTCCAGACAAAGGATTTCACAGGATTTATAAAGAGGGGAAAGGTGGGGTGACATGGATATTCCAGGCATAGAGAATAACATGCTTTATTCTCTCTAAATAATGCACCACTCCAGTGGGTCTCAGGTTGGCTTCTGAACTAGCAGCAGCATCACTGTAATGATCATCATTGAACACTGTTTTCTTTTAAAGATTTTAAGTAATCTCTACACCCAACGCGGGGCTTGGACTTACAAATCTGAGATCAAGTCTCATGCTCTACCAACTGAGCCAGCCAGGCACCCCTTCACTGTAAAATTTTTAATCTTCTTTTTCAGAGGCAATATCATCCCTACCTTGTCTTCTATTTCCTTTGCTCCCAACTACTTTGCTATTGACTTGCCACCAACTCTGAAAGAAAATCAATTTCTTTAAAGATTGCCAGTGATTTATTTACCAGTTGTAGTGACTTTTCCAGCTTTATTTACTTCTGCTTCATTGGTTAAGTGTGCTATTTTTAAAATTCTTTTCTCCTTAAGTGTCTGGAACCTGTATTCTTGACTCCTGGTTCTTTTCTGTTTATTTTTCCAGGATATTTCTTTTTGTGTGCACATGATAAAAAATTAAATAGTACAGCACATGATAAAAAATTCAACACTTTCACTCTCTAGAGACACACTAAACATTTCTCTTTTCAATTCTAGAGCTATAAGCTAAGTAATATGCTTATAGTCCTGTTTTAAAATTTGTCATCTTGTTGATGTCTATCAACTCCCTATTTCAACAGATGAAATATTCCAGTGGATGAAAATTTAGCTTGCCAAACTCTTCCACTTTAATATTAAAGTTCTACTTGTTTCCTGTGTTTCTTTAAATATACTTAAACCTCTGCAGTTCTAACAATTTCCAACAATCTCTTTTATTTCAACTTTAAAGATTTACTTCTCATACTTTCCTCTCCACTACAACATCCCAAATAACCATGATACTAATATGTCATGAATTATGATGTTTGGTTGTATTGGTTTTATTATTATGACTTACAGTGTTTATATAAATGTTATTTATACTGAGTTAACTACTGTACTATGATTACATTTCCTTTTCTTGGTACAAATTTATTTTCTCCAAGGTAACAATGACCTTATTTTGTTTAATTTTTATATACTTATCACCAATTGAGCCCCAAATTTTCCCAGTCATCTCAAACTTCTAATTTAGTTAAACAGATGAGAGAATTCATCTGTTCCTTTTCTTTCCTTTTGATGCAGAGCCATCTCTCTTAGAGTGTCTTCTCCCCCTGCTCCAATTTGGGCAAGTTATTCTCTATGCTCGCTACACAGCTGTCCTGGGACTTCCACGTTTCTCAGCATTGAATCCACTGGCTTCCCTCTTTCTTACTTGCTCTTTTGCTGGAGTACATCCCGAAGTAATTTTCTCAGAAATATACTGCTGAAAAAGAGGTGCCATTTGAATCTCTTGTTCTTCTGTAAGTAGCTTATAGTTTTCTCTTTGAAAAGTTTAGAATGTATATAGGTATTATATTTATCCTGCTTACTGATTCACCGACCTTAGGCTAAGATTTATTTTTCTTTCTTATTTTTCTGTTTCTCTTTTTGCAACTCCTATTTGTTGGATATTGGATCCCTTGAATTAATCCCATGTCTTTTTCGCTTCCATTTTCAATTGAGGGTTCAAAAAGAAGTCACTGTTTTCTCTATATTATCTTAATAAATATGACATCTCTCTCTCTCTCCCCGCAAACCAGCAGGTGGACCCTCTTATATCAATTGTGTGTGTGTGTGTGTGTGTGTGTTCTGGAGAATGTCCCCAAAGGGTCTCCCAAACTACTTTGTAGACAGACCCTTAATGAATCTCCCTGACTTCAGACTCTTTCCCCTGCCTTTCCTACTTGCTGTTGACTTCAAGCCTTTGTCCTGTCTTTGTCACCACTGTTTTCATTCATTTATTCAACCAGTACCTATGATATATAATGTGCCAGGCAGTGGGGATGTTGACACTGAAAAGCCTCATATGGCTTCATTTACCCTGTTCCCAGCAGTGAAGTCTCCCCGAGTATTGGCGGTACATTTCCTTTGCCTACTGTATATCTCCAACTATAATGTTCTCTCCCAAAGTCCTCTTCGTATATCCCCTAGTTTAGTTAGTGCTACCTCAATCCACCCATTCTGCTACACTCTTGAATGTTTGCACTATTTCTTAATGGACCCAAAACAAGCCTCACAAGTTCCTTTAGTGATAAAAATCTCTGATATGCTCTTTTTATCTTCTGTGTTCTCAAAGAAAGATGTACCAAAAAAAAAAAAAAAATTCTAGCGGAGAGTCTGGGTTACCTGATTTTGTCCAAAAAAGGTTTGTTTCATGGTCATTCTATAGACAAAGGAGCTTAACCAGACAAACCATCAGACTAGAAAAGCAAATATAATTGGGAACATTTAAAATGACTCCGTGTAACCACATCAATCTCCACTGATCAATCTAAGATTGAGAATAAGAAACCATCAGACTTTAAGGGCAGAAATACCTACCTTTTATTAACACCCAGAGACAGAAATTTATACTGCGGGGAGAAGCTTCTGTAAGTATTGGTCATCTCTTCCAGTCTTTCCCTTTCATCATCCTGCAGTCCACTGACCCAGACCTTAATCTTCTCTGTGCAACCAGCAGTTGCTGACTGCTTTGCATGATACACCAACAGTAAGTCTTTTCCACATCATCAGACACAATTACCTGACCTTCCCTACTGCTCTGCCAATGGGCTGGCTCACCTGATGATAAAAATAATTACCTAGTGCCAAGTCAGCTGTAATAACTATACTGCTGGTACAATATGCACATTGTTTTAATTAAGGCAAATATACTATGTAACTGAAAGGCATGTGATGCAGGACATAAGAGTTTTCTGGGTTTTGTATCTAAAGCCTTTGGCAGCACATATGCTCCATACCCATAACTGTGTAGATTATAACTGTAAAAATCCCAAAGGATTCTATTAAGTTTTTAATAGCACAGGTTAGAAATTAACACTACCAACTAATGTGATTAATGCAAAAGAGCATTTTAAAACCAAATGTCATTTTCTTAAAATACAGAAAGAGGAAAAATAAGGAACTCGTTCAAAGGTATGTGGATAGTGGCAATTTGAGTGAAATGTTAATTCTGCATGGGAGAGCTTGAGTTCATTGTCATTTAAGGTGCTTTTATGGTTAATGTTACAGTTTTACATTGTGGCTTCTCATTTCTCTGTGAAGAAGGTAGAACTGAACAAATTACATTGGTGTATGAAAATACTCGTAATACCTGATTTTGCTAAGGGAAACATTTTTTTGTCTTGACATAGTTATTAGTTCAAATAACTTCCTTTTAAAAATCTGTGTAACGAATGGGCCCCAGAGACTGAGGAGTTGCACTCTTAGGCCTCTAGGGGTCAGCATAACTCGAAGGAAGAGCAGGCGCGGCGAGTAAGAAAAAGCAAGAATGCACAGGTGGGCCGGCGACTGAGGTGGGGTGGAAGAGAATGTGAGGTGGCAGCATAAAGGCCACTGAAAGTGAGGACCAGGAGCGGAGCGGAAGCTGACTCTACAGCCAGTCCACACAGTGTTCTGGTTTGTGTTCTGCAGAAACCCGGGGGCCCAAATCACTGAATAATATGTTGCCTATTGCATAAACTCCCTTGAAACTACCAACAGTATTTGTAGGATCTCCTTCGTAGGTGCTGAAAGTAATTTACTTTTTTTTTTTAAAAAGGATTTGTTTATTTTAGAGGGGGGAGGGGCAGTGGGCGAGAGAGAGAGAATCCCAAGCAGAGTCCCCACTGAGTTTGGAGTCCAACGTGGGGTTCTTCTACCCCATGACCCCGAGATCGTGACCTGAGCCGAAATCAGGAGTCCGAGCGTAACCGACTGAGCCACCCAGGTGCCCCATTGTTTACTTTCCGTAATGTCTGTTTTGGCCCTTTGGATTTAGACCACTGAGATGTGAGAGTTAAGCACCACAAACTGGTTCTCCCCAGTGTAAGGGCTTTTCAGTTTGAAGGATTTTAAAGTCGTCTCCACACCCAACGTGGGGCCCGAACTTGCAACCCTGAGATCAAGAGCTTCATGTTCTACTGACTGAGCCAGCCAGGCACTCCTGAAATTATTATTTGAAGGCTAGAATGATCTGAGGGGTTGGCTAGCCTTCTCTAAGGTACTAAATGGTGGGTTTTATTCTTTTCACCTGTAAAACATTCAGTACTACGGCAGAAGTGTGGTGATTATAATCATACATTTTGGAAGAAACTCATTAGCAAAACTCACAGTATCATGCCTCTCACTGCACCATATCAATTTCAGAGATGGGTGGAGTGCTGAAATTTAAGGAGGGGTAATGAATAGCACACCTCCTTTCTACTTCCTGCTAGATTTCCCTGTGTATCTGGACAATACTCCTGGGGACCACAGCTGATAAATAATTGTCTGCCTCAGTTGATGACAACCACACAGTGAGAATTTAACAGTGTTGGCAATCATTTATGCTACGGGGGAAAAAGAGCATTATATTTTTTCCTTCCTTTAAAGGCAGTGGAAGAAACAGCGTTTGGGCAGTTCAGTAACAGGTTTTGGGCATAAGAAAAGAAATCATTTCCTATTCCTCACAAACTTTGATTTACAAAAGAATGCTGGAAGCTAAAAGCCTTGTTGATTTATCACGTGAAGCAAAGAGTAATTTTTCTCCCCTTGTTAGGCTTTCATATAATCATGCTCACTGCCTGTATGGGTGGCATTAAAGAATTTCTGAATAAAAATAATAATTTCTTGCTTTCAACCTTCATAATTCACATCAGCAAGCGCCCTACTGGGCGGTGACGCCTGCTACCAGTGACGCTCAATCTTTTTTGCACGCCACTTATCTGCCTCGCGCAGCTGCGTGTTCCATTGATCGCAATACCTGCAGGATAATGCGCCCGTAGGCGTTCTTTAGCAGATTAACCACATCCGCATGAGACAGCCCATCCAAAGGTTGCCCATTAATGCTGACAATCCGATCTCCAACCTGGAAGTACAAAAGTGGTAGAAAATCACTATCATTAAGAAAAATTCAATTTGAGGAGAATGCTTAAAATTCTTTTTAAGTCGTATTTCCCATTTGTGGCTATTGTGAAGATTCTGTGTTTCTCCTGTGTATGCAAGTTCCAGAAGCATGAGGAATTTTTATGGCTTTCCCCAAATACAGACCAATCAGAGAACAAGGAGGTCAGGTTTGATTAGGGGAAGGCACGGCAGGCCACTTTTGTATTTTGGCAATGGTGGTTCCCCAGTAATAGTGGGGCATACAAATTAACTGTTCAATAAAGCTCTAATGAGGAAGCCAAATATTTTCTCCTTTATTTTTCTACCTAAGTTAAGATTAAGGGGCAATGGGGAAAAAAAATCGTAAGAATGTTAATTCTTCTGGTTGAAGGACGATTCTAAGGTCAAATCTCTCTCAGGTGAAAATTAATTCTGGGTGAAATGAAGTGCTAAAAATGGTATGGGAGGCTTTGCAAATGAGCTGCAATTTCTTCTTTCATCGGGAAGCTTTGATACAAACAATAATATTTTTATATGCCCAGGGACCTAATGAATTTTAGGTGTAAACTTTCTCCAATGCATTTTGCCCTCAGCATGGGTCTCTGTTGGAATTCCAACTTTAAATACAGCGCCCATGGCTGCAACTTTGTCTCCCACCACATGCTGTTAGCATTTCACCATTTTCCTTTTGTTTACCTTAAGCTTCTGTGTACGTGCAGCCACACCACTGGCCTGAATCATGGCAATAAATATTGGGATATCTCCTAAGGGACTTCCTTTTCCTCCGGCGATACTGATTCCAAGGGCATCACTGAGCTCCTAAAAAATAAGGAAAACACAGTGCTCATATATTTAATAAAAAATCACAACCTGATTGCTCTCGGATAGCTGCTGAACAAAATCCTTCCATGATGCAGGAGGCCAGGGTAACATAGGAGTTAAGTGCAGCGCCTTTGGAGTCTGAAAGAGACCTGTGTTTTCAGCTCTAGCACTTAATTAGCTGGGGGTGGGGAGGGTCTTAAGGCAGTTCCTTAACCTCTTAGAGTTTCCATCTTTATGTTGATTTGAGGATTAAATGAGATGATATAGTGCAGTCTTAGCCTACAGAAGAGGCTCAATAAAAGGCAACAGTAGGAGTAAAAACACACACAAAAATACAAAACAACCCTATGTTACTGCTCAGTTTAGTGGCCAATTTTGATGCAGACTTGGCAAGTATGTTCTCATATGGTGTTTATGATTAAACTGCCACACATATCATGCTCTTCTGGGTGTGAACAAACACACTTGGCTCTAAAAGAGCTGCACGGTTGCATTACAACAAAGGATCTGAGAGGACACCCACTGGAATGATAACAGAGTTTGCAGGGAGAAGGAAGATGTGGCTGAAAGTGTCCGCTAAGATTAGGTGAGGCAGCTTGATTCGCTCGGACCCTGGTGAAGAGATCCTGGCTCTCGTCCAGGTCTTCTCCACATTTGTATCACAGGGTTACTATTTTAAAAATCATGGAAAGAATGACTGACATGTTCCACTTTCAGTGTGGTGGCATTTGCTCAACTATGGTAGCTCTCTCCTGCTGATTAAAATGCACAACTCTGTCAAACACAGAAAACAACTACCTGAGGCTTCGGAAAAGTAAAGAAACAAATTGTGGTAGAGAGCCAAAACTTGGAGTAAAAGCAGCAGGGGGTGAATCACCCCCTTCTTTTCCTGGCAGCGTTGTCCTGAGGGCGAGAGCCGGTCAAGGAGCTGGAAAGGTGGCGTACAGTGTGACACTGATGTGGACGCCTCTCTTGCCCCATCTCGCCCCATCTTGCTGGTCCAAGGAACCAGGCGAGGGAGCCCCCGTGACTGGAGAATAAAGGAAGAAAGCTGGAGCAGAGGGCACCACAGAATTCTCTGGCTTCGTTCTGAGTGACTCATGTGCGGGACCGACCAATACAGACCTGAGCTGGGAGGTGAACCCCCGCCCCCGGAAAGGGAGACAGAATTTGCACTCTGAACTCGAATGGGCTGACTGCCTGCTAAAACATAAACATCAGTACTCTTCTGAGTCTACACAGCGTTACATTCCTGAGGACCAAAACTACTCAGTATGCAAAGAAAATGTGACCAGTGTTTTTCAGTTCTTTAAAATATGAAGGACAGTGTGCCTGGGTGGCTCAGTTGGTTAAATGTCTGCCTTTGGCCCAGGTTATGATCTCAGGGTCCTGGGGTCGAGCCCTGCATCGGGCTCCCTGCTCCTCCCTCTGCCCCGCTTGTGCTCTCTCTCTCGCTTACTCTCTCTCAAATAAATACATATATACATACATAAATGGTGCAGGACGTTTGAAAGTAAAAATTGTAACACTGGTGGGGTTCTCAATTTATGTAAATGTAAACATATGATGACTATGGCATAAATATTAGTGGCATGGGTGTGGTAAAGGGACTTACATGGTAGCAAGACATTTTAACTGATTATTTAAAAATATACACAGCTTAGGGTGCTTCAATTTTACCTCATAAAGTTGGAAGATGGGAAAAGAACAAAATGACAATAAAAACCATATATGAAAGAACATTAAAAACTCATGTCACCTAAGTGTGAGGAATTATTCTTTACTATTAATAATATTACTAATACTGCCATGTCATGCCTATAAAAGAAGAATGGTGAAGCTGACCTCTCCAGTCACGGGTCATTTATATCCTGTTTTTGAACATATTTGTGTCTGGCTTATGTTTTTTGAATGCATCAACAGTAAAGCAATGCATGCAAAATGGCAAGATGAGTTTCATCACAAAAGTTTCTGCTTGGAACATGTGTGGGAGAACATGGTTCTCTCTCCTGCTGGGAGTAGGCCTTTTTATAAAAGCCTGTAAAAAAAAAGTGGCTGAAATGACTAAGGAAACATAAAATTATGTTTTTCTCGTTTTTGTTTTTTTAAAGATTTACCCATTTATTTGAGAGAGGGAAAGCACACATAAGCCTGATTGGGGGTGGGGGGAGAGACTCAAGCAGACTTCGCTGCTGAGCTCGGAGTCTGACATGGGGTTCAATCCCACTGCTGTGAGGTCACGACCTGAGGTGAAACCAAGAATCAGAGGCTCAACCAACTGTACCACCTGGGCACCCGTATAAAATGTTATTTTATAAACCTTGGAATGAGGAGAAATTTATGGAATAACTTGGCTTTATTCAAGTCCATCATAATGCTTCCGTAATTTATCCATAATTATGTACATGTTTGGTAGATTTAACTTTCCTATCATAGGAATATCTGAGTTGCCACTCTGGTGGAAAGATACTAGGAACAAATGAAGCCAATTTACTACAAACTGTAGTCAATAATAATGGATGCCACTTCCTGGACATCTATGATGCACTAGATACTATGCTAAGTACGCTACTTGCATTATCTCATTTAATCCACACAGTAAGATTGACCTTGTGAGTTAAGGGTTGTCATCCCCAGTCTACAGACAAGAAAACTTGAGTAACTTGCCAAAGGTCATAGAGCTAATAAATGGTAGTGTGCCTTCAAACACAGCTATGATTGATTCCAGAGAACTAAGCTATGCTGGATATCTCCTCATGGCAGCTGAACCATGATTATAACAAGGTCATAATTTCTTTTTTAAAGACTTCTTGAATCCCAAATTTAATGGTTGAAAGTGATCAAAATAAAAGTACTTTCCAATATTCTGGATATCACACAGGAGTTTGAAAATCAGGATTGGCAACTTTATGAACAAATACAACTTACACAATCTTCTCAAGAAGGCAATTTAGCAATATGTACAAAAGCCTTTAAGTAACAAATGTGGCTTTTGAATCAATAATTTCATTTCTAGGAACGAATCCTGAGGAAATCACCCATGATATAGCTAAAAAAAGAAAAACAAAGACGTTGCTATAAAAGAGCAAAAGTTGAGAAATATGCTAATTGTTTACTAGGAGGAAGCTGATTAAGAAAATTACAGCACATTTATATGATGGAATACTATGCAACTAATAAAAATCATGCTGCGTGCCATAAAAAAATATTAGTATGGCTAAAAGTTCATCCCTTAAAGTGAAGGAGACAGGGGAACCTGGGTGGCTCAGTTGGTTAAGTGTCTGACTCTTGATTTCGGCTCAGGCTGAAAGATTTCGATCTCAGGATCCTGGGATCAGGCCCTGCATTGGGCTCCGTGCTTGGCATGGAGTCGGCTTGAGATTCTTTCCCTCTGCCCCTCCCCCTGCTCACACATGCTCTCTCTAAATAAATAAAATCTTAAAAAAAAAAAAAGTGAAAAAAGACAAGCTACCAGAGTTTAATATACCTTTTTTTTTTTTTTGTTTGTTTTATAAAACTTAAATACATGCACAAAACACAGTGGATGGGACATACCAAAAAATTCACAATGGTCCTCTATGTGGCTTTACTGTATTTTTCTAAGTCTATTTATGTTACACAAACCATTTAATGCCTTCAGTAACTTAAAAGATCATACTAACAATGCAAATATTGAGGAGAAAATATACATTTTAATGGAAATACAACACAAATCAGAAAAATAGCAAAATTATTGACCTACCCTGATGATCTCAACGGTCCTTGGTCCCATATCTGTGCCTATAAATAAGGAAGCAACACAATTAACTTTTTAAAATAAAGAGATAACACAGTTAGGATTTAATATTCTCCTATAAAAATATCCTTTAAAAAAATAGTATCATTTTCTAGCTCTTTCAAGAGAGAATACAAACAGAGAGAGAATACATACTTTATCAAAATCCAAACTGGCAACCATTGGTTAGGAGCTATTTTATTTTTTATTTTTTTAATTTTTTTTTAACAATGAAGAGAACTTTTTAAAAAAAATTGGATACAGGTCTGTGATTCATCAGTCTTACACAATTCACAGTGCTCACCACAGCACATACCCTCCCCAATGTCCATCACCTAGCCACCCCATCTCTCCCACCCCCCTCCACTCCAGCAACCCTGTTTGTTTCCTGAGATTAAGAGTCTCTTATGGTTTGTCTCCCTCTCTGGTTTCGTCTTGTTTCATTTTTCCCTCCCTTCCCCTATGATTCTGTCTTGTTTCTCAAATTCCACATATCAGTGAGATCATATAATTGTCTTTCTCTGATTGACTTATTTCGCTTAGCATAATACCCTCTAGTTCCATGCACGTCATTGCAAATGGCAAGATTTCATTTTCTGATGGCTGCATAATATTCCATTGTGTGTGTGTGTGTGTGTGTGTGTGTATACACACACCACATTTTCTTTATTCATTCATCTGTTGATAGACATCTAGGCTCTTTCCATAGTTTGGCTATTGTGGACATTGCTGCTATAAACATTGGGGTGCATGTGCTGGTTAGGGGCTATTTAAAAGAGGCCCTCTGTTTGAGGTAGATGTGGTCATAACCATGTGGTCTGACAGAAGCTGATGGAAGTACTAGCAGCTACCCAGGATATCACCATATATCGTAAGTGGCTTGGGGGATGGGCTATTTGTGTATCATTGTACATTTTCCTGCCTTAATCGAAGACAACCCTCTTCTCAAGGAAAGATTTAAAAAAGCCTGCCCCACCCACAATGGTATATGCACTTTCGACCTTCTTCAAGTGACCTGTCATTTGAAATTTTTCTCTTTGGGAAATGGTTTTCTTTTATGAAGTAGTTTAGATTTCTACTTTTCCTGTTTCATGTGATTTGTGTACAGTTAAAGGCACATTCCCAAAATGAGTCCCTATGGCTTTCCTTCCTTTAGAACAGGCTTTTTATCAAGCTTGGGGCTTAGGTGCACATGTTCAAAGATTTCGACGTGTCTGAATTGAGGGTGAAGAGATTGTTTTTAAAAAATATTAATATTTTATTTTATTTATTTATTTATTTATTTTTTTAAAGATTTTATTTATTTGACAGAGAGAGACACAGCGAGAGAGGGAACACAAGCAGGGGGAGTGGGAGAGAGAGAAGCAGGCTTCCTGCGGAGCGGGGAGCCCGATGCGGGGCTCGATCCCAGGACACTGGGATCATGACCTGAGCCGAAGGCAGACGCTTAACGACTGAGCCACCTAGGCGCCTCCGTAAAAATATTAATATTTTAAAAATTGGATCACAGGATGGTTTTGCTGGAGGTGTGTCCAAGTCATACCTGAACTTTTGGGGTAAGGATCTGTAGCTCTTTTTGCGCCGACCAGGTTTTGCAGGCTGGTGATGACAGGAGCCAGGGAGGGATGGAAGTTGCTGTGTGCGCTGTGCTGGCTTCCCTGGAAAGAAACCCCGCCGTCAGCTGCACTCAGACACTAACTTGGTCTTAAAAATTCAGACTTAGTATTTTAATTACTGAAATAGCCATAACCATGTGATAGAAAATTCTGTAGAGGCTAAAAGAGAAAACGGAAGTGACCCCTACTCACACCTTTACCACTCTAACCCAATCCCATTTGACATTTTTCTTTTTTTTAATATATGTATTTTTTTCATTTTATTTATTTATTTGTCAGAGAGTGAGTGAGCACAAGCAGGGGGAGCGGCAGGCAGAGCAGAGAGAGGGAGAAGCAGGCTCCGCATCGGGCTCCCATCCCAGGACCCTGGAATCATGACCTGAGCCAAAGGCGTCCCATCATTTGACATTTTTCTATCACCTTCCCCTTTATATGAGCTTTATATGTATGCATATATATATATATATATTCTTTCTCACATATCTATTCATCTGTTCATCAATGTTTAAAAATTCATTTCAAAGTGACAGACATGGATTATGGATATATATATTTAAAGGAGTGTTTTCTATATTTTTCCTGAAAGGATATGATTTAAATCAATAGTGCTTTAATAATATTCAGAATTGAGGGAGTATAGCATATTATAACTTTTGCCTAAAAAAATTTAGAACAATGTGTTTGCCATGGCCTTTATAAATATGAACTGTGCCTGGAGGTGTTCCCTCAGTTATCTGAGGAGATTTCTCAAGTGCTTTTCCATAACACACCGTCCTTTGAAGAGTAAAGGCACTCTTTTCTGGTTGGTGGGAAAAGACTTTTTAAAAAAAGAGGCTTGGTGGCCCCAAGAATAGATCTATCTTAGTGAACCCACTTTCTCTAGGCCAAGTCTAACAAATTATAATTCTCCTTGGCCCTCGGAAGAAGACATTTATCTCCCCATCTTATAATTGCCCAGAAAGAAATCCGTGCCCCTAGAGGGTCTGAAGGTGGAAATGTCTCAGAATGGGATTCTCTTTTTCTCCAGTCGGGTCATGGGCTGGTCTTCAGCTCATGATAATGGAGGCCATTTCCTTTTCACAGCCAGATATGAGCCTTCTTTTAATTAGCCAAGTATCACTGCAGACTCTCGTTATCATCTCAGCCAAAATTTTAAGGACAAAGTAAGGATAAAACATATTTACTGTTTTTCTTAAAATTGAATTAAACTTCTTCTACCCCCTAAGGTTAAAAACTCTGTGCAGGAAGGTTAGATAAAAGTGTCTGATACTTTGTCTTAGGTTTCCAAAATAGGACAGCTCACATTTATAGATGAGCTAAATGGTGATGATAGTTTTATCGACATTTAATAATCGAGCTTCTAAATTTGTTAGCTCTGTATTTAACCTAAGTGTGAACTTTATTAATCTCTAAGACATTCTTATACATGTTCTTCAATGACAGAAATCTAGTTCTACCTACTACCTCATCCTTCAGTTCAAACTTTTTTTAAATTTTGTTTTATTATGTTATGTTAATCACCATACATTACATTATTAGTTTTTGATGTAGTGTTCCATGATTTAACTCAAACTTTTCTTAAAACACTGGAATTCTTTGTATCCCTTTGTGCTTTTGCATATGCTATTCCATCTGTCTGGGATGCCTTCTCCCTCTCTTTTCAACCTGTCAAACTCCTTTTGCAGTGAGATCCAATGGAGCCTCCTCTGTGGCACCCTCCCATATTCTGCAAGGAAGAAAAATTTTATCCCCAGTATTGTTCAGTCTGAATTCTAACCTGCATACAACAAGGCTTTAGTGAAATCACTCAACAAGTGAATCTTCCACTAAGGAAGAAGCTCTGAGACAACTATTTTTGCATCTGAAATTCCCACTGTTGATAAAAGTCTGCTCAGAATCATTATCAACCATTTGCTCCTGGAGCCCCACTTCAGCACTGTGTCTTAGTACACATGATATTTGCTGCTCATTGCGTAGGCCAGAAATGAAAAGAGAAAATATATTCTAAAACTTAACATGATGTTTATTGGGTTTCACTGTTTTGAAGATTCTCTAAGATAGCTAGTCTGCGATCCTAGCGGAACAATGGTATTTTTCTTTACCTATTTTCTAATACCAGTGAAGCAAAGGAGGTAGTTATTAGCATCCCAGAAGCACCTGTGTGCTAACCACAAACTCAGAACGACTTGTGAACAAAAGCCTTGGAGAGGCTTTAAGTCTAAGGCAACTAGGGAGGGGACCAAAACTCATGCTTTGAACCTCAAAACAAAGGCCCATAAATAACCCACAAAGGAGATGGAGGTCACATGTTAAGTTTCTACAGCTTCACTATGTACCAAATGGGACAAACATATAGTCTATCATCTTGATTTTGTCAGCCATTATCATAAAAACAAAACAAAAAACCCAAACTTTGAAATATACTTTGTTAAAAAAAAGTGGCACTTACATCAGGCTTGCAAATAAACATAAGATGTTTGCTAACCTACAAAGTATCACCCATTAAGGCCTCCCTCTCAGAGGAGAAACCCCCACACTTGGCTCTCTTAGGAATATGCCATTAATTGCCCTCAGCATGTGTGAGTGGCTATTCAGAAGTTAACTTTATAGCAATATTTAATTGAATGAATAGAACAATGTTGTGCTAATGAGGGTCAAATTGCCACCAGATGTTGCTTCTTTTTTTTAAATAAACACAGCTGTGTACATGCATGCATAGGCAATACAGAACTACCAGTGGACGAGAAAAGTGGTTCTAAGGAAATACTGGCAGGCATTAAAGGAGAGAAAAATCTAGGGATTAATGAATATTAACGAATTTCCATCCCACCTTTCATTTTTATTTTAAACATATTAAAATGCCCTGAACATGGTGTTGTGAATATGCTGTCTAGTACACATTCCAATCATTTACGAAATGGGGAGCTTTCTCCCAGTGGGGATGGGTGAGTGAGTCAGTCTGATGGGAACCCAGCAACAACCTGACTATTCTGTGAGGTCTTCCTCGAGGAGGTCCAGGAACCAGCTCGGAGTCTTCCAATCTCTAGCTGCACCAGCCCCTGTGCACACTTGGGAAGACAAGAAAAGAGGTGAAAAACAGCATTTAACTTCTAAATTATCATGGCAGAGCTTCCCCTCATCTCCGCACCAAGAATTGTAAACGGGTGATGAAAGCAAGAGGGAAAAGGAAAATTCAGTAATCAAAAAAAAAAACACACAAAATAACAAAAACTCATCAACTCCATGGTATTCATCTCATGACTTCATGACTTCTTTAAACATGGTAAAAGTATTACATATCAATTCACCTCTTCCTTCTCCCTTCTGATGAAAGTATTCATGAGCAGTGAAATAATTAAGAAAAAGTGAACAGGGGATGGAAAAATCAAACATAGAGATAATCTACAAATAACAAATTCATAAGTCATAACTGACTATACCAGGAAATCAGGATTTTAAAAAAGAGGTTCATTTGTCTTTGCAAAAGCTTCCACAGCTATTTGTGAAACTGTATAAGATGCAGCTGATTATAGGTGAATGGAAATTTACAAGAATTTTTATTAATCATTTTCCCCCAAGGGAGGCAGCGTCCATGTGGCAGAGACACTTGGAAGGTAATTCTGAACCTAGCCTCTCTACAGCTTCAGTGAGAAACGGCTTGGGTGGTGGGAAAACCACTCAAGCAGATCCTTGTCATCTTGGACATGCTCCTTTACTTTTTCAAACTTCATTTGTGAAATAGAGGAATTGGTCTAGATGATCTTCAATGGTCCCTCAAGGTATTTTTCTTTACCTATTTTCTAATACCAGTGAAGCAAAGGAGGTAGTTATTAGCATCCCAGAAGCACCTGTGTGCTAACCACAAACTCAGAACGACTTGTGAACAAAAGCCTTGGAGAGGCTTTAAGTCTAAGGCAACTAGGGAGGGGACCAAAACTCATGCTTTGAACCTCAAAACAAAGGCCCATAAATAACCCACAAAGGAGATGGAGGTCACATGTTAAGTTTCTACAGCTTCATTATGTACCAAATGGGACAAACATATAGTCTACCATCTTGATTTTGTCAGCCATTATCATAAAAACAAAACAAAAAACTGGATTTGGTTAAAGCTGGATTTGGTAAATTCATGACAATACAGCTTTAGAGAAAAGGATGAATTTTTTTTATTCCAGGAGAATTTATCCCATCTAATGCATTCAGAGGGTAACTGTGGGTACTTCATTTCTCACAAGGATAAAAACTAGCTTGGGAAGACCCCAAAGAGGTTTCTCTGTCAATCCTGATCCTGATAATATATCTAGCAGCTTTCTTGTAAAGCTATATATGATGGGTTAAAATAATCCGAGATTAGCTCTCTAGTGAAAACTAGAGTTAGCATAAAGTCTAACCCATTTATAACCAAGCTTGATTAGAACGGCTCACTGTGGACTTCAGGCAGACAGTAGCCTGAGGACTCACCTTGAGGACAGTGGCCACTGTCTCTTGTGAAGCATTTCTCATGTCCTCCCCATTCACAGATAAGATCTGATCTCCCTGAATCAATCTCCTATCAAGGTCTGCAGCTCCACCTTTCACGACGTCAGAAATAAACACTCCACTTCCGTTTCTGTGAATACCACAAAGCAGTGGGTAATGGCACAATTTAGTATTTCTGAGTAAATATGAGATTATTGACATTCTATACAGTTTCACTAAATCCTGAAGCTTGGAAGAGAGGTCCTACAAAGCCATCTCATCCAATAATATCCACTAACTTCCAAAATGATAAACCTCAGAGTGCTTGCCCTTTAAATAGTTTAGACCTATTTATGCTGCTTACTGTAATACTCATTTTTATTGACCCAAGGGCATCATTTCTGCAAGAGGACAATCTTAGTGAAATGAAATGGATCACTTGTTTTTTAAGGTGGTATACTAATCTACAGATGTTCCTTAATTTCATGATGAGTAAACTGTTGATAAAAAATATACAGGTTATTGTCATTCACTAGCTATTGCAAACAATGTGCAATGGACACCATATCTACAAGCACACCATCAGAATATTCTAGTTGTGGAATTGCTAAGTCAAAGAATTACGAATCGTGAGCGCTTATACACCTGACCCTTCACAATGGAACTTTCTGGGCTAAGGGATGTGAATGTTCCTTACAACTCAATCTGAAGTACTAGTGTTGTATGAAGACTGTTTTATCAGTCCAGTAGGAGACAATAAAGTAAAAACCATTCTTCTAAGTGGAATCTCCCCAGGCATATGTATGTGTCACAACCAGCAAGCAAATTTCAACTTGGGCTCTGTCAGGTGCTCTGCACCTAGGTGTGCATTGAGTTTGTCTCAGCTTTTTTGATTTATAATGCATTTTCAGTGATGATTTAATAGTGCTGAAGGATGAGATCATGACAGCACAGTACTTGGCACAAAATCCGTGCTCTCAAAAACTGTCTCCAATATATATATATTTTTTAAAGATTTTATTTATTTATTTGAGAGAGAGAATGAGAGATAGCACGAGAGGGAAGAGAGTCAGAGGGAGAAGCAGACTCCCTGCTGAGCAGGGAGCCCGATGTGGGCCTCGATCCCAGGACTCCAGGATCATGACCTGAGCCGAAGGCAGTCGCCCAACCAACTGAGCCACCCAGGCACCCTATATTTTTATTTTAATAACAGTTTGGACAGCTGGAAAAAAGCACTAGGGTAGCCGTCAGAGGTCTGTGAGGGCACAGGACATAACATATAAAAAAACCAACTTCACTTCTTCCTAAGAAGATGTTGATAACCATTTAGGACCGTACTGGGGTGTCACCTGGAAACCTTGCAGCCCTGTTGGAATAAATACACACTAAATATTGAAAACCAGTAAACCATGGGAGCTGGAATTGCAGTTTCAAGATATTACTTACTTTTCTAATCTACTACTGTTATTCTATAATGCCCATCATATGGGTAAGCAGCACAGACTTCAAAAGAAAAGCCTAGCCAAAAGGATCTACCTACATTTTTGTTGCAAGTTATTCTTTTGGGGACATCTTTCTTAATGAAAACTCCTGTCATGAAAAATTTGCAATTGTCTCTCAACTACATCTACTCAGCTAAGTTTTGAAACTCACCAACTAGTTGTAGTTAACATAAGCATGAAATTCACATGGTACTCCGTGGCAGAGCAATTTTCTTTCTTTTTTTTTTTTTTACAAAATTTTATTTATTTATTTGAGAGAGAGAGACACACCGAGAGAGGAAACACAAGCAGGGGGAGTGGGGGAGGGAGAAGCAGGCTTCCTGCCGAGCAGGGAGCCTGATGCGGGGCTCGATCCCAGGACCCTGGGATCATGACCTGAGCCGAAGGCAGACGCTTAACGACTGAGCCACCCAGGCGCCCCGGCAGAGCAATTTTCTTAACCCAACGCTGTATAAACCTAGCTCTTGATATTAGCTGTTTCTTGGGTATGGTTGCTTTAATTCACCCCTGCAAGCCTCAGATCTCAGGGACTCCAAGGTGAAAAAACCTTCTTGACTCTGTTCTTATTCTATATGGGAGCAAATACAGTCTGGGTTGATTGGGTTTTGAGTTCTATCTTCATACAACATACTTTTTCTTGGTTAAGATCTTGCTCAGAAACATGACCTAGGTCACTCTAATATTTATAAATAGTTTAATTTTAGAAACCATATCATTAGTTTATACAAGACCTTATCTGCTGGTGTTCATAGGCTCCCTAGGGCTCTGGAGGGACAGGCCAATCTGTCCTGTGTGTTTCCTTACCGTTTCCCAACAATGCTCAGACCCAGTCCTCGGCCGGCCTTTTTCTGCAGATCCACGGGGAAAACCTCCAAGTTCTCCTCATCCCTGTAGTGTGCCTCATCTCTATACACCACAAGTCGCACCTTCTGGGGGGTCTGCCTCAGGGCTGTGATGGCTTCTTCGTGGCTGGCGCTCCTCAGGTCAATCCCATTAACCTGGAACATCAGGCATCTGAGATGGGCTGCTGACAGCAGAGGCCTCTATGCCTGCTCTGTCTGCTGAACTCCTTAATCCAACCAGTGAAAAAACCTCTAGAAATTTCCAGCCATTCCTGAGGCACACAGGCAGTGACTACTAGTAGTAGTAACTGCTTCGTGTATAAGGGAAGTTAACCCTTATACTGCCCCCAACCCCCCAAAAGCTTAGTACACACAATAATGCAATTTTGCATAGCTGTGAACTTTACTATGGGATCAACATGGCTGGGGAGGGAGGGCGAGAGAAGCAGGAGGGGTGGAAGGGGCCGACTGGCTTCATTTAAATGAGGTCAAAAGGGAAATAAACACTAGTGTTTGGTCAGCATTTTTAGACTCAGTCGGCTTACTGAATTTGCCATCCTCACTCTTAATTGCAAACATCACAACTACTTCAGAGTGAGTGGGAAAGAAATGAGAGGTTTTCAACAGTGTCAAAAACCCCTTGACGTACACTCTTCTGAACCTGGATCCAAGTGAGCACAACAAATAGGACCATGAGTGACAGGCAAACTATACTAGAAACAGCACTGAGTAAAGCCATGGCTCTGCTGGCAAATCTTGTGAATTTGGACAAGCCTCATAACCTCTTGTCAGCCTCCGTTTCCTCATCTGCTAAACAGAGATCAGAGCCAACTTATTATTTTTTTTAACTTAACAAATGTTTGTGTAATGCTTGTGAATCAACCCTTTATAAATATTTACTCATTTAATCCTTATACTAACTCTCTGAAATAGGTCCCATTACCATTTTACAGATGAGGAAAGTAAGCCATGGAGAGGCTAAGAGACTTGACCAAGGTTGCACAGCGAACAGATGGAGGAGTCCCAATTTGAACTCAGACTGTCTTCCCACCCTCAGTCTCTATACCATTCTGCCTCAACTTCCTCTCAGAATGAATTCCTGGAGCCCCCTGCCACAGAGAGAGTCAAGTAGAGCTGTGGATCAGTGGATTTAACACAAGGGAGAAACTGAGGAGCAGAATGGCCGAGGACTCAAAGGAAGGGAGTCATGGGTCACTCCCTCAAGGTCACAGCTAGGAAACAAGCCAAAGGGGAGGATAGCCCCAGCTCATGGCCAGGGGCGATGGCAGAATGGAAGAGTTCCCTCACGATGCAGGTTCTACTCCACATTCTAGTCAATCCCTCTGTGTTCTGGGTAGGTCAGGTTTATCTCTGGTCCTCCATTCCTTCATCTGTCCTGTGAGGGATTGGTCTCAGGCTTCCCCAATTCTAACATTCCAAAGACGAATGACTCATGGCATGAAGAGTAGTTACAGAGAAGGGAGAAGAGAGCAATGAGCCCTTCCTGGAGAAGGTGCGTTTTGAGCTATTCTTTTTTTTTTTTTTTTAAAGATTTTATTCATTTATTTGACAGAGAGAGACACAGTGAGAGAGGGAACACAAGCAGGGGGAAAGGGAGAAGCAGGCTTCCCGCTGAGCTGGGAGCCTGATGCAGGGCTCGATCCCAGGACCCTGGGATTATGACCTGAGCTGAAGGCAGATACCCAACGACTGAGCCACCCAGGCGCCCCTGAGCTATTCTTTTTTAAAGCTGATGCTATGATCCAGAAAAGTGTTTTAAAAGCCTGATTTTCAAGCTGTTTTTTTTTTTCTTTTTCTTTTTCTTTTCTGGTATATCTTGGGTTTGTGTTCTCACACAGCGTCCAGCATCCACTGTTATTTCGGGCCCATGCTGCATTCTCATTGTTTGAGAAGTATATCCATAGAACAAAGGGGAAAACAGTGTCTCTGGAAAATGTGGTCTGAGCTGATTATTTTCCCTGTATTCCAATAGATGGCACACAAGACCACTTCTGTTACACTCCACTGCAACATAGTTACTTCTACGGACTGAAGGCAAATTCTCTTAAGCCTCTAAAATAGCTTTTGAAAGGCCCTAACAATTATACTTTCAATAAAAAGCACTGTCATGAAACTAATATTATAAAAGCAATTTATACTAAATTCCAGCATGAAGATGCCTGCTCAAATCCAAGTGATCTGCTCCAAGTTCATAGTTTTCATTTCCTCCTCTGCTTATCAAGAGGCACCACTAAATGCACCAGTAATCATAAAGAGAAATATCGCTGTGTAGCTCGAATATTGTGGCGTGATGTATTACCTTAAGTGCCTTACAGAAGCACTATATGCATTATTTAGAGCATTGATGGTAGGGGTGGCAATAGCAGGGCTCTCTATTTGAGACAAAGAGCCATAGGAGGCCCCAGTTGTCAATGGGCGTGTATCACATCTCTTGGGTAGGACAAGGAAGTGGGTGAACCACTGCTTTAGAAGGAAAGAATAACCATACTACACAGCAGTTCCTCGCTATTTTAGTTCACAGGGAAAACCAGGCATTAGCCCTCTACTCTTTCTGCTCCCGCTTGCACATAGAGGAGGATTATGGAGGTGGGGGTAGGGTTAGATGAGGGACTTTGTTTTAGAAAGATAGAGAGAACGTGCGTGTGCATGGGCCGGTGGGGAAAGGCAGAAGGAGAAGGAAAGGAAGAATCCAACGCAGGGTTCGGCCTCACAACCCGGAGATCATGACCTGAGCCGAAATCAAGCCTGACACTTAACTGACTGAGCCTCCCAGGTGCCCCAAGGGACTGACTTGAAAAGCAGAATCAGAAAGAAGGCAGTCCATGCTAATTATAGAATCGGTTAATCTTGCCATGCTAAAACATTATTGGACTCTATCTTTGAAATCTTTGTAAGCAAAAATCTGGCTTGTCCCAATTGTTTTCTTTCTTTTTTTTTTTTAAGTAGTCTTTACGCTCAACATGGGGCTGGAACCCACAACCCCAAGGTAAGAGTCGTGCGCTCTACTGACTTGAGCCAGCCAGGTGCCCCATGGCTTGTCCTAATTTTAACATGAGGATAGAATTAAAACCATGAAAGGCCAGCTACCAATGCAGAGAACTCTTATAAGCAGAAAGGCCATTGTCTGGAAAGCACTGGTGTATTCTCTGGTTTCATGGTCTTGAAATATACCACCAAAGCTGGCCTGCCTTCTTAAGGCAAACCTGCAGGCCACAGGCTGATTATACATCATTATGCATCTACACACATCGACCACAACTAGAACAAGCCCGAATGAGGGGCCTAAGTTGCTTAGAAAGGAAACATGTTACTTGACCAAACAGCTATTTCTTAACTGAACACACTATACGCTCTTGTGGACTAGATACTGCTTGGAGTAAAAGAACAGCTTGTCCTGCCCAATTAAAAAAAATAATAACTTTTTAGTTGACACACAATGTTACATTATGTCCTGGTCATCTTTAATGAGAAGTGTAGACCATCCGTCCATACTGAGTAATGTAATTCAGCTGGATGCCAGGAAATGGTTTGAGTTTTCAATTTCTCCTTCTACTTAATTGCTTTCTTCAAGTTAACCTGTCCTGAGTGTTTGCTTGTATGTGAATATACTATATGGAAGACAGCAGCTACAGTGGAGGTCTATCCAATACAAACTGATACAGTTTTAAAAAGTCTTTTATTGAGGTATAACTGTTATGAAATAAACTATATTTAAGATTTTATTTATTTATTCATAAGAGACAGAGAGAGGCAGAGGGAGAAAAAGGCTCCCTGCTGAGTACGGAGCCCGATGCAGGACTCAATCCCAGGACCCTGGGATCATGACCTGAGCCGAAGGCAGACGCCTAACCATCTGAGCCACCCAGGTGCCCTTGAAATAAACTATATTTAAAGTACACAATTTATACTGTGAATTTAAATGATTTAAACCTATGCAACCATCACCATAATCAAAGAAATGCACATATTAGATTTAGTTTCAAGTGACCATTATAGAATAATTCGTGGGCTTACAGATCACATAAGTATCTAGGCATGTATGTATCTGTACTCTTGAATATTCTATTTATTTTACAGAGCCAATTATGATAACATCAGTTAATTAGAAAACCTAGGGAGGGGAAAAAAAAAAACCCTCAAAACTTTTGACCACTAAAAAATGGTGTTGTATGCTAAAGCAGTCAAGCCAATTCCCAAAGAGATCTCGCTTATTTTTCTAACCTCAGACACTTGTGCCTTAATGAATGTACTGGGTATTTGTCCTAATCCAATGATGAAGCCCAGTAAAAGTCTGCAGAGAAACCCCGAATTTAATTTGCAGGGAGCCTGGCCTCTCCTTTAACTCCTTCTTGCCTATATTTTCTGCCCTTAATTATATCTGTGGTTTCATCTTGGGAGGCAGACTTGAACCACCAAAGGGAAAATAAAATTCTATGATGTCATTCATAATGTGCTATATTAAAGTTGCAAAGCAAAAATGCACATGCCCACCATAAAATGTTAACTAATCAATTAAATTCATCCAATGAAAGAAATAAATGTTGCCTAAAGGTTTCACACCATCAAAAAAGCTCTTTCGTTCCACCTACCAGAATGCCTGGCATTGACCTGCCATTCATCCGTTCCCTAGTTCAGACACTGCCTACCTTGGCATTTTTTTAAAAGGCTTTAACACCTTTGTTAATTGAGAGTCCATTTGAAAGAGGCAAGCTAGCCATTTCACATGTACCACCTAAAAGGAGAAGATCCCACATTTTCATCAACTAGAAAACAAAAGCAGAAAGGCACGGACCTCCACTTTACTTAAAGATTTATTAGGAATAAGAAAACAATACTTAAAACTGCAATGAAAGTCTTTAAAACGTCAGGTGTGCATGTTTATGCATATGTGTCTGTATGTCTGTGTTTTTAGGAGCGAATTTCGACAGGTATAATGGAGGGGCCAAAAAGTCAAATTGCAATACTATACACTCTCACTTGCTATTAAGATGATAGAACTATTAGAACTATAAAACTTCAATTTAAAAAAAGTTTTCACAGATTTAGATAGATAATCTGCCGTGATTCTGATGACAGTTATTCAAAGTACATTAAAAAAATTAAAAAAAGGAAAAAAGTAAGGTACATGTTTTGCTAAATGGGAGAGAAGTGAGGATATAGTTAAGTACAAGGCAGTGAGTAAAAAGACTTTGTGGATCAAGGTCAGTAAAGGAATTGTATTTGCTAGTATGTTTTTAAAAACATTCATTCATTCAAGAAGGCTGGGAGGGACAGAGAGAGAATCTTGAGCAGGAGCAGGCTTCATGCTCAGTGGATGTGGGGCTGGATCTCAACCCTGAGATCATGACCTGAGCCAAAATCAAGAGTCGGACCCTTAACCAAATGAGCCACCCAGGCACCCCTGTATTTGTTAGTATTAATAAAATTCATAGTCCTATACCTCTAATATCTGGTCACCGGCCCAAAGTCTTCCATCTCTGGCTGCCGCTCCTTCTTCGTAGACTTCATGTATAACTATAGCATCCTATAAAAAAACAAATTCTTATTAATTTCCAACAACCATAAATGCTTCCTTACACAAACAACCAAACCATAGGCAGCAACCCATAATTTGCTCTTTGCTAATAATGTCCTATTTTATTTGACCTAAAAGTAAACACAAAACACGGAGTTATGATATTTTCAGAGGTGTAATTAATTTTTCCTAGGTTTATTATTTCATTCGACTGGCTTTGCCTAATATTTCAAGTTAAACTTGCCCCATGTGTTTTACTGTTAACCTGTACATTGCTGCTGTGTATGAACTTGAGGTGAACTATGTGTCATTCTTACTTACATTTTACGGTATATTTTGAAACACGGTTTCAGGTATTTATTAGTATTCAAGGATTTGGCATAGATGTGTGGCCTGATGCAGGGGGTCTGTCAGGCCTCATTACTTGGGCAATGAAAGAAAGAACTGAAGTGGAATGAAGTGACCCTGGAAGATGAAGCATGGAGGAGGGGAAAGGGTGTTCATGAACCTAAGTGTAAGACAGCTGTGGGTTCAAATTCTGACCTGCCCTTGTGTAACTCTGGGCAAATTAACTCCTGAACCGAGCCTTCTGAGCCATAAAATCAGGACAATACCTAAAGTAGGTAAGCGTAAGCTGAAGAAAGCATATTATGGTTAGTGAATTTAAAAGATTCCTATCTTTTCAAATTAATAACTTTACATTTTTTATCATAAAAATAACCCATGTAAAGGACTCAAGCAAAACCACAGGGTGTAGTGAACCACAGAAGAGACTGCCTCCCTTGCAGTCCCACTCCCCAGAGACAATCACCATCAACAGTTTCCTAAGGATCCCTGCAGACAGTTTACACCTATACACCCAAATACTGATATTACATGTATATGGGTTTTGGTGAGACTATTTTGAAAAATATCCAATTGAATATGTTCACACAACTTTTCACCCTCATGTTGAGCAAACGGGATTTCTTTTAAAGATTTATTTATTTATTTGGGAGAGAGAGCATGTGAGCATGAGTGGCATGGACACAGGGAGTGGGAGAGGGAATCTGAAGCAGACTCTGTCCTGAGCACAGAGCCCTACACAGGGCTTGATCTGACAACACTGATTGGGTCACGACCTGAGCCGGCATCAAGAGCTGGATGCTAAACCAGCTGCGCCATGCAGACACCCCACAAGCAGGGGATTTTTATGGAGCTGGAAACTGAGCCAGAAGTCATTGGTTCTTTCTGGTGTTTATCAAACTGAGGGGCACTGAAAAAACAATGACGGAAGGATCATGCCAAGTGTCTTATTAGAGGGCTGCTGGGAGAGGAAAAGAGCTGCTGCTTTTTTTTTTTTTTTTTTTTAAGATTTTATTTATTTATTTGAAAGAGAGAAAGCACAAACAGGAGGAGCAGCAGGTAGAGGGGAGAAGGAGAGGCAGACTCCCCACTGAGCAAGGAGCCAGATGTGGGGCTTGATCCCAGCACCCTGAGATCATGACCTGAGCTGAAGGCAGACACTTAACAACTGAGCTACCCAGGCGCCCCAGAAAAGAGTTTCTGATGGAGATTAGAAAGAGATCTGTGGGTCTTATGAGAAGTGTGGATTTGAGCCCTGCACTGCCCAGTGTCACCTCATTCCCCACCCCCCCCCAGCACACACGCTGGTTGTAAGACCCTGCAAGCGGACTCTAGGCATAATGGATCCCACCTTGAGTGTCCCAAGCATTGGGGCTTGGAAGCCAGCAGGATTTCTTGACTTGTGATCATAAAGGTCTGGGTGAGAAAGGGCTTGATGATTACCAGGAGGACTGGTGATAATGACCAGGGGCCTACCAATGATGTCTGGGAGCTCTGTAAAGAAACCAGAACTCTGAGAGTTTAAAGGGCCTCCAAAATGACTGAGGTTGATTCTGCCTTAGTCCAGAAATATGGAGCCTCAGAATCAGAAATGACAAGAAGTCAACATAAAGAAGTATTTCTTGCAAAAATATAACAAGATAGGAAAAAAAGACCCAAACCAAATCTTTTTTTTTTTTTTTGAGACAGCAAGAGCACAAACAGGGGGAGGGGCAGAGGCAGAAAGAGAAGCAGGCTTCCCACGGAGCCAGGAGCCCAATGCGGGGCTCGATCCCAGGACCCTGGGATCATGACCCAATCCGAAGGCAGACGCTTAACCGACTGAGCCACCCAGGCACCCCTCAAATCTACTTTCTTAAAAAAAAAAAAAAAAAAAGCTTTGTATACAAATTCTGGAGTAGAGAAGCAATACATGAGAATATTAAGAGGTTCTACAACCAGATGACCCAACTGGATTCCAAATATCTTTACATAGTAAACACTTTCATTTTACTACCACACAATTCTGAAAACACTTTATTATAGCAGTTAGAGAGGCAGCTCCCAGAAGCCAGGAAAGATTCCTTAATCCATTTTGCACTATGGATTCTGTATCAGCAACAGATTTTAGACCATTCTTTGTTTTAACTCTTGACTTAGGAAATTTTCACACCCAGGGAGCACCTACACTGCCAAGAGTTGGTTCCTCTGAACTGTTTCAGGGGAATGGTTTTGTGGAAACGTGCTGGGTCAGTGGCTTCAGGTGATCCCCAAAACAATGCCAAGATGACACCAAGGGCCACTTTTATGAAAGTAGTGCAGGGAGAAACTAATGCAAGCTTCTGGTAATACCCCACATTATGCTGGTTTTCCAAGTTTGGAGGCCAAACACCCCATCTTCACTGGACTGGGGGAATCAGATTGAACTCCTACTATACACAGTTTTTATAGCATTACATTTTCAGCCTAAACTCCTTTAAATCTTGCAACATTACAAAAGTTAAATGAGAAACTTCTCTTCGTTTATACCTAAAAGGAAGAAAAAGATCCAGTGGAGTTTTTATTTCATAAAAGTAGCTGGAATTGGTTGAGCATCTGCCTTTGGCTCAAGTCATGATCTCAGGGTCCTGGGATCGAGCCCCATGTCGGGCTCCCTGCTCAGTGAGGCATCTGCTTCTCCCTCTTCCTTTCCTTCCCTCCCTGTTTGTGCTCACTCTCTCACTCTCTCTCAAATAAATAAAATATTAAAAAAAAAAAAAAAAGAAATACACTGTTTCTCAAATGCCAAACTCAGGGCCAATGATCTGTTTAGTCCACGAGTCTGTGTGGAAAAACTCCCCATTTATTCCTTTCCTTGACTACTGCTGTGATTTCTCTTAAAGTTATCAGTGAAAATGCAAGAAAACATGAGACACACTGACCCAGCAATAGAAAAAAGTCACATTTCTTACCATGTGCCCTGTGTGCTGAAAGTGTGTTGTGAGATTACGGTTCTGGACAGCTGCATTAACTGGGGGTGTAGAGGTGAGAAGTGGGGGCCAGCAGCTAAATTAGAAATGTAGGCTGGTTGGGGCACCTGGGTGGCTCAGTCTTTAAGCATCTGCCTTCGGCTCAGGTCCTGGGATCGAGTCCCGCTTTGGGCTCCCTGCTCCTGGGAAGCCTGCTTCTCCCTCTCCCACTCCCCCTGCTTGTGTTCCCCCTCTCTGTGTGTGTCTCTCTCTGTCAAATAAATAAATAAAATCTTAAAAAACAAACAAACAACTTTTAGAAATGTAGGCTGGTGAATTGAAAAGAAAAATGGATTTATTTTTCCCAAAACTTACATGATTCATAAGGTAGGACAGAATAATAAAAAAAAGATACTGCACTGAGATATTTTAAGCAGCTATTTGACAAGGCAACATTAAAATTTTCTTTCTACTTTGAAACAATTGTGATTAGATGAAATAATGGGTTATTAATGAAAGACTGCCCTTTACTGTTTTAAAAACAAAAAATCTGGAGTTGATTATACATAGGATTCTTATCTTCTCATTGTATATCCTCTTAAATGTTGATGCTCTTGAGCTAGTCACACAAAACTGCTTGTTGGCGCAGTTCTGAGTGGCTTCTCTCCCACCCCTATCTCTGCATATTTAAATAACATTCCTTCACCCTAGAATACCTCAGTGACTCTGTCTACCAATACCAATGACTTCTTCTAAAACTCATCTATTCCAGAAGCAGTGTATTAATCATTTCCCTGTGGGTGGGTTGCTGGCTTACACTGAGGAGAGGCTGTAGAGACAACTGCTTATGAGCTAGGTCTCTGGAGTCAGATTTCTTAGTCCAAATCCTGGCCCTGCTACTTCTGGCTATGGGCCTTGGGAATACTATTAACCTCTCCAGGCCTTAGCTTCCTCATGTTTTTATGGTTTTAACAATATTATCTACACATAAAGCTTTATGTACAATGCCAGCACATAGTAAGAAGTGAGAACATCTCATTATATTTAACGCCTCTGTGCCAAAGTTGCTGCATGCTTCCCATTTGTGCCTTTCAATCCTCATAACAAGGAAGCAAGTGCAGTATTATTAGTCTCATTTACAGCTGGGGGTATGGAGGCTCAGAAGGATTCAGACTTGACCAGGTCTTTGCAGCTTCTAAGTAGGAAAGATCAAATTCCAACTTGGGACTGTTTAACACCAAAGCCTGTGTTCCTACCACTACTGCAAGCGTCTCATCTGTTTTGAATATTTTATTTTGCACTTGTATAAGAGCTAACTTGGGATTTTCCATATGGCATCAATTCTGTTGAATTATTGTCTCCTCAACTCCACAGCAAAAACCTTGAGGGCATGAGCTGATCATTTTATAGAGAGTGAACAAAAAGACAACTGTGGAAGTGAAAATTGAAGCCCAATGAGGTGAGGTGATGATCTATGGACCTCACTTGTTAGTTCTGGTACCTGGTTAGGGTTTGCACTACACAAAGCATGATGGGTAAGCCCTCTCCCCAATCCAACATGGAGTCTCGCTCTTAATTCTGTTTGTTATTCTTGTCTCTTTCCTTCCTTCCTTCCTTCCTTCCTTCTTTTTCCAACCTCTTTCTGCATACCCAGATTATTCACTGAATGATTTTTTCCTACAGGAGCAGATATATACAAGGGATGCCTTGATGTTTGAAATAAAAAGTTGTTCAGTC